CGAGATGATGAACTTGAGTTTCTTGACACTTTTTTCCCATGCATCTATTGTAACCTAAAATTGGGATCAAGCACTATACGGAGTTTCTTCGCAGGTACAATAAAAAAATGAAATACATGCTGTATCGTATTTGCATATGATGTAAGTCTCATCAGTATTTTTCAAACTCGAACAAATTTTCTTGATGTGCTGAATAATTCCAAGGATTCAAGAGACACTTGAAAGTATTTTTCCGTACGAGACATTTACAAATGTTTCGAGCATGTTGAAACTTGTCGCACTTCATCATGCTCCTCATAAAAAATTCGCTACTCTGCAACTGACTTGTACTTGAATGTAACATATAACGCAAATTATAATCATAAAACAATGTTTTCTTTTCAATTTGATCTCACCTTCTCCGGCCTCGCTTAAATCCCGGCGCAGTTTAGAATTATCGACAACTTCCGACTGCAATCGATCAACGGTACGGGACAAACATTTCTGCAACAATTGTGTGACATTTTCACTTGGAACCTTGAAAAGAACCCCGAGATCAACACAATTTTTTCTTCTTCTTATTGATACGGGGGTTGGTTTGCTAGATTTTTGTCGAAACTTGAAGTTAAGTCCAACGCAAATACCGAAGTCTCAAAATTGGAAATCCACAGGGGAATTAATTACAAGACTTGAGGCAAACCGATCTTCATTTTCTAAAAATTAATTCTCCTTCGTAAATTAACAAGCAATTGTCAAGATGGAACACCTTGGTAAGTTCCTGTCAACAGCACTGTCAGTCAGACTTTTTAAACTTCAATTTTAAACATTTCACGGCATTCAGCCCATCTATAAAATGAAGAAATAATGCAGTAACTTAAACTAGACGATTTTTTCATGATGTTAAAATTATGATTCAACCGTCTTCACTCTCTCTATTTCAACGCGGATAAGGCAAGGAAAAGCGGTCAGGAATGATTCATATATTTGCGAGTAAATAAATCAAGCAGACTTGTATCAAAAAAAGGGAGGCACAGGAGTCACAAGAAATTTCAATCAAACCCTTTGAATACCGTATACTGTAAAACCTACCTTTTTAATATGAACTTGAACTACTGGAAACGCGGGGCCCCGAAGAATTGATCCTTCGCTGATGGAAAACTTTCCTTCCGTCTCATCCAGTTCAGCATCCAAAAGCTCGTTTTCCTCGAAAAATTTTCGCTGTTCGGATTTCCAGCCCACCTGAACAAATCCGTGAACTTTGATAAATCAACCATGTTCATCAATGAAATCTCACGCAAAAGATAATAATAATTAAAAATGCCAGACTTACGTATCCCGTCCAAACCGTCGAGTTATTGAACAACACCAAGTCGTCCTCAGCATTAAAATCAGCGAACAAAACTGCCTCACACGAGTTTCCCCGGAGCTTCACTTTACGAACTGAAAATTCCATCGATCCTGAAACTTGGATTCCGAAATCTTGGTCCATCACTCGATAAGATTGAGAATGCCAAATCAAAGCGGTAAACTACCATGAAAAGTTCAAAGATGCAAAAACTGTTATATTTACATAATT